GCACTACTGTGGCTGTCCATTTTCACTTTGGCAGAAGTGTCTGGGAGGGGGCAATACATACACAAAATTCTTCTGCCTCTTGCAGGCAGGAAATTGCCTGATTTTGTCGTTCCACAGCTGATGTTACTGAATGATTTTCACACCTAGATGCTCAGGACGCTGCCACAGTTGAGTATAACTTTTTCTGATGCTGTCTCTGCAGATCCTGTCTTTAGGTGCTGGGTTTGACTCCTTATACTTCCGTTTGAAGGACATAGGTCTTCTGCATCACACTGTCGTGTATGAGGTGGATTTCCCGAATGTGGCATGCCAAAAAGCTACTCTGATCAGGAGAACGAAAGAGTTGTTGGCACTGGTGGGAGATACCGGAGGGGAAAGATTAGGTATGGTATTTGGGGAAGGTTTTCTAGATGCTAAATGTTTAGAAGAAGCAAACATAGGTTCAGCCTTTAAAAAGTGAGATATGATGGTAGAGGAACTACAAAGCTGTAGATGAAAGGCGTGCTCATTTTCAGAAAAACTTTGGAACAGATAAATCATAGAATCATAGAATGGTTTGGGTGAGAAGGGATCTGGAAGACCATCTAGTCCAACCCCCTGCCACAGGCAGGGACACCTTCCACCAGACCAGGTTGCTCCAAGCCCCATCCAACCTGGCCTTGAACCCTTCCAGGGAGGGGGCAGCCACAGCTGCTCTGGGCAACCTGTGCCAGTGCCTCACCATCATCGCAGTGGAGAACTTCTTCCTAATATCTAATCTAAATCTCCCCTCTTTCAGCTTGCAACCATTACCCCTCGTCCTATCACTACCCTCCCTGATCAAGAGTCCCTCCCCACCTTTCCTGTAGGCTCCCTTCAAGTGCTGGAAGGCTGCTCATATTCAGAAAAATTTTGGGACAAAGACATCATTCGTAAACATTGGGTGATAACACGATGATGTATGTCTGCCAGAACGGGTTTGTCAGGAGCGGATTGTGTCGGACCAAGTTCAGTTTCTTTCTGTACGCTTCCTGCAGTGCTGTGTCCAGCTTTGGGCTCAGTAGCACAAGGAATAATGGCAAACTGCAGCGTGTCCACTGAGAGGTCACGAGACTCATAAAGTGGTGGAGCACATGACGTAGGAGGGGAGGCTGAGAGAACTGGGTTTGTTCAGCCTTCAGAGGAGGATGGGAGGGAGGGAGGTGGGCCTTAACTGCAGTCATTGACTGCCTAATGGGACAGTGTAGGAAAGGAAGCTGGACTTTTCTTGGAGGCGTGAAGCAAACAGCCACGGGGCAATGGTTGCAAGTTGCAACAAAGGACGTTCCGGTTACGTAGAATGGAATTTTTAAATTATTTTTTCCTGCCATGTGACTAGTTAAAAAGGAGAGGATTGCTCAGAAAGGTGGTGGAATCTCCAGCCTTGGAGATAGTTAGAGCTTGACTGGACAAAGCCTTGAGCAACCTGATACAGGTAACTGCTGTGAGCAAGGAGTTGGACTAGATGACCCTCAAAGGCCCCTTTCAGCCTAAATTTTACTATGATTTATGGGCTTTGTGAGTAGGAGAGAAGGTAGGACTCTTAGGTGTCTTGACTGTAATAAAACGTTAGTCGTTATGTGACCTGACTTTTTTTAAATACAGATAGAAGACAGCTGCAGAGCTAGGTGCAGACCACAAGTCCCTGGCTCCCATGAGCAGCTGAACAAGTCTCAGTGAGTAGTTGTTCCATGAGCTTGTTCCGTTTCCTCTTTAATCCAGTCACATTTTCAGTATTGGCAGTGTCCTGTGGCCAAGAATTCTGTCCATACCGATAACCTTCAGGTACTTCAGCAAAAAGGCAGGTGCTGAAAGAGTTGGGAATACCCTATTCTCTGTGTCCCGGGGGCAGTGAGTGATGGACAGACAAGTTAGTTGTTAGAAGAAATTAGGAGGGAACATGGGGATGGGCTTCTGAAGGAGGCCATTTTGCCTCCGGTAATGTGATGCCTTTGAGAATGCTGTAGATTAACGGTTCTCAGGACAGATATAGTTGTTGGGTTGCACTGGTACGGAGACATGGAATAGTTGATTTCTAAAGGTACTTTGCTGTTTGCTTTGTTTATGTTTGGTTTTGGATGAAACAGGTCAACAAGCTATAGCTTATGATATTCTTCTGGAGTACAGCGGTATGCCCCGGTCATGCTTGCAAATGATAAATTGGAACTTACTTCTGAGAACGGTGATCTGTGAGACTAGTCCTGGTGTTTGCAGAGAACTAGCATGTGCTGGTTCAGGATTCAGTGCCATTCTACAGCAGTGAAATCTGTTTGAAAAGCAAACAAACAAATCCCCAAAACCTTGAGACTGGTTTTATGGTTGTGAGGCAAACCGTTCAAATTCTTTTAAAGTGTTGGTACTTTCTTAGCCTAAACTGAAAGGTCTATAAAGGAAAGCCCTTAAGATTTGATTCTGAATTATAGTGGTTCTATAAAAATGTTGTTAAAGTAAATATTATAAGGTTTTGTTGTTATAGTAAATGTGATGATTCTGTGAGAAATCTGTAGGTGAAATTTGCATTAGGAGTAATGGAGTTTTAGATCTGCGTTTAATGGATCGCTCTTTGACACTATCCCTTTATGGTTCATTTAGTGATGGGGATTTTCTTGTACATGTCCCAAAGAAATTGAATTGATGGGCGCAGCCTTGTGAGTGGTTGCCTGTGGAGTTGATTTTCCTGTTTGTCCCTTTTGGTCTCTGTATTACATCAGCACTGTGGTGAGATTGTATCATTTTTGTCTCCCAGGCGCCATGACGCTTTCTGGAGAGGATTATAAATTACTAGGAGTGGACTTGTCGGAGCTGTCTGAGCTGGAGAGAGCCCTGGAGGAAGCAGGACTGGACAATGGAGTCCCCACCCTCTTCGTCGCAGAGGTGGTGCTCACCTACATGGAAAATAGCAGGTCAGTTGAGTTGTCCTCTGTTAGCCAGGTGGCACAATGAATAAAACAAGCTGCTTTGTGTGTACGTCACCTGGGGCTGGGAGACCTGCTGCCTTGTAACTAAAGCCTCAGGAGTTCTGTGGAAGTCCCAAACAGCTCCTTACATCATAATTTTGGTGGGGTAATTGATGTCCACGTGACATCCTAAAAGTGAGGAAAAAAAGAACAAAAACCTCGGATGAGTGATTTTTTTATTCGTCTCGTCCCCTGAATTCTCTGCACAGATGGGGGAGGAGATGTTCGTAAGACCCCAGCACAGGATTCTCTTTTAGGTATTACCTCTGTCAGGATGCCTTAATAGCGTGCTTTATGGTGTTGCAGGAAGATGTATTGCTTCTGCCATATGAAAGATAGGCCCTCAATTATTTCATTTCTTATGCACAATCTACCTGACAGGTCAGATGCCTTGATTCAGTGGGCAGCAGAGCATTTCTCTCAGGCATGCTTTCTGCTGTATGAGCAGGTGCACCCAGAAGACCCCTTTGGACATGTCATGCAGCAGCATTTTAGCCAGCTGAACTCTGCCCTTCATTCTTTGGCACAGTACCCTGATTGTGAGGCACAGCAGAGGCGCTTTTTTGAAAAGGTAAGTACCTGCAGCTCCAGGGCACACATGAGGCATGATTTACCTGGGATAGATTGTAACATTAAATAATTTTGGAAGTTATCAGCTGTGTCAGTGACGGGTTGGAGCAGACAAGGCCGAGGCTGAGACGCTGCTTTGTCTAGTAGCATGACTAGTCATTTGACGATCTTTCAACCAACTTGCAGCCTACTTTCTGGCATGGGATTAACACAAGATGGGTTCCTCAGAGACTTTTGATATAATAAATTCTTAAATAACTTCTTAAGAGCTTTACAGGTAAGAGATCTATCCTCACCAGATTCTGGGCTCCTGCTGTTCCAGCTAGACAGCCTTACAGGCTTGTGCAGGTGTTTAATTGAGGGTCTTCGTTTTCTTGTGGGAGGTGAGTCTCTGTCCTTCCAGAGTTGTTAGTTTTGAGGGATTTCTGTTTTAGGGCTGGACTGAGTGCCGTGTCATGGATATGAATGAGTTTTTCACCTGTTTTACTCCAGAAGATGAGCAGCAAAGAGTGCAGGCTCTGGAGCCTTTTGATGAATATGAGGTAACCCTCCTTTATTCTGAACACCAATGACCAGGCTTTGATATGATAAGGTGCGTGCCATTTCTTACGGTCACAGTTTTGTACCAGAGCTGCTGAGGCGTAGGTGTTCATGTAGGCAGAAAGGATCTTGAATCAAGTTTAGCTTCTGCAGGAAGCTCTGTGTGAAGCTGGGGCAAGTAGCCTTGGAAGAAGAGTCTCTTTGGTGTTAGAAAAGCTTCTTGTTCCTTCCTTAGTGGCCGGTCTGTCAGGGAGACAGCACGGCAAACCAGCTGGTGGCATGAAAGATGTTGTAGATGCTAAAAGTTTGCATGGGTTCAAGGGGCAATTATTTTAATGAAAAAGAAATCCACTGAGGATTACTGAATCTGTAAAAATACACCTGATGTGAGGTTCCTGACTGCAAATGGTTGCGAGCATTCCTGGGGGAAGTAGATGCACTTGTCCTGCTCTCTTGCATTTCTGTAGGCTATTACTGTTTGTTATTGTTGGATACAGGTTACTAGTTTCAGATATTTTTTGGTCTGACTTTGTACAGCCATTCCTACATTAACGATTGAAATTTAACTGTGACCGTATTCTTTGACCTTTTTATGTTAGCTGCTGGCAAAGTTTGCGGCTATTTGAAGTCTAGAAGAGCAGATAAGTCAAAGATACTGAGTAACTTTGACATAAATATCCTGTAGGATACTTACTGGAAGTTTCCATTTTGCTTTTTGTGGTTTTCTGTTTATCTTTCTCTCTAGAAGTCTACCAGCCTGCAGTATGAAAACCATTTAATGTGCCTGCATTTATTTTGCCGACGTGCAGGATCTGCTTCTCTACATGAATGCAAAAGTAATGACTGAAAGGTCTTGGCAGATTTGCAAAGTGGTATAGAAATGTCTACAAGAACTGTTGTAGATCGAGGCAATTGTTCATACAGTGAGAAAGTAAAGGCTTTTTACTGTTTTCCTTGTAGAGGAGGTTAACGTGTACACAAGTGCAAGCTGAAAAATGTGCATAGGAGTAAGATATGTGATAACAGAGGGCTCTACAATTAGCCTTTGAGATAAAGATAAAGTAAGATCCAGGTCTTACTGGAAGCAAGCTTGATTGAATTAGATAAGAAATGTAAAATACACACTTAGTGTTGAGGGTGACTAATTTTTAGAATAATTTGGCTAGGGACAAGTAGTGGATTCTTTCATTTTTAGTATTTACTTTAATTTTTGGATATCAGTTTTCAAAAGATGCTTTTTACTTCTGGTAGAAGTTGAGGCCATGATGCCAGTGTTGTGGTTTCTTGAGCCTTTTAAATGCGCGTTTATGCCTTCTAGTCGTGTAGTTGGCTGAATATGTCCCGCCCCATGGGAGTGAGCATACTCAATTCCCTGATGTCCATAAAAGCCAGGGTGGACTCTAGTATTGCTGCTGACTTCCTGTACAGTTGTCTTGCTTGTGCTTCTGCCTCTCAGTGATTCCAAGGCCAGGCTGGAAATCGTATTTATGTGTTACCAGCCAGCAGAGACCATGTTGCACCTTTGAACATTTGTGATTTCTTTGGGGTCAGTTATATTCCATGACCTTTAAGAAGCCTTAATCCCTCTGGTATACAGCCCTCACTCTTTTATGTGATCAGAACTGGGAAGCATAAAGGGAAGCTGATTCCAAAAAGCAAAAGTTCCTCATGCAACGTACAATTAAGCTATGGAACTCCTTGCACAGCGTGTTACAGATGATAAAAGCTTAGGCGAGTTCAAAGAGCAACTAGATAGGCTCATGGATGAGAAATCCATCAAAGATTGTTCAGTACAAAGACACAGCTTCTTGCTTAGAAAATCCCTGATCTGTAAACTTTTGAAGGTTGGGATGAGGAAGATATTTACATGTTTTCTCTTTCTCAGATTCAACTTTAGTCTTCTGAGTTGGCCGCTGTTGGAAACGGTGCTAGGCTAGGCTGGCCTTTGATTTGATCACCCTGGCCATTCTGAGATCCTTACTACTGCTTGCTTTAAGATTTTGAAGGGGATTGTTTGTTTTTGTTTTTTTAATTTGGGCGTGCTACAGGAATGGCATCTGAAATGTTCCCATTACTTTGTCTTGACTGCATCAAAGGGGATGGAACCTTCCTGGACTCCATTGTTATCCAGTATGACAGGTACATACTGACTAGTTTTCATAGTATTCTTTTCTCTCGTGCAGGCTTCTGTCAGAGATTTCAGGAGACGGTAAAACCCTGGAAGGAGCAGATGAGATGCTGCCATTTGAGTAGCTTTATCCATTTCTCTGCTGTCCATTACGAGGCCAGGGCCACGTCCTGACTCTGGTGGTTGTGATCAGTTTCATTCTTTCAGTTTATTGAACCTTCCAGTCTCAACAGCTCTTCCTTCTGTTTATACATGGGGTCCTCCAGTGCGTGGCTGCAATGCCAGTCTACCCTGTTCCTCCTCGTATTTTTGGGTTCCCACAGACTCTCCTTCTTCAATTTATTTCCACTTGCCTCCATATGTGGCGCTCTGAGCCACTCTGTCCTTCCAGCTCCCAACAAAAGGTTGTTATGTTTTACTTACTGCACTATCAAAGTATTGTCCAGGAGAGCACTAAGGAGTGTGTCATGAAGTTTGTGTTTTGCTTTGTTATCCCCCGTGGGTGGAATTGTACATGTAGTATGTCTGTTTCTGAAATGCTGTTAAATCTGTACATCGCTTTTTTTAGATGGCAGAAAAGTGGTACAGCTGGGGAAAAACAAAGGCCAAGACTTTGTTTCCGTGATAAAAAGGACTTGGCAGCAGTATCAGTCCAAGAAATTCCTCTTTTGACTGCTTGCTTCCTTTTTGAGGTTGGAAAGCAGAAGGTTGTTTTTAACCTGTTTCACATCACTAGTCTTGTTCACAGTATAGCACCACAAGTAGTTGGGTCTGCAACTGAAAGTTGAAATCTGTGTTCTAGGGAGCAGGAAAAGCAGCTGGAAAAGGATAGGGCAGGATGGCATTCCTTAAGCCAACAAGGCCACTGAACCCATTTTGTTGTGTCTTGATTAGATCTGAAAACGTGAAGTGAAATCGAAGCTAAGTGAATGTGGGTGTGGTTAAATATACTGTCTGATTGTCACTGGTCCTTATCTTAAAGGCCCCTAAACACGTAGGACCTATCCTTAGGTTAAAAAAAATAATCTGATGTTTGCTTAACTGCCATTAATACAGTGAAGACACTTAATTCGTTAGGGACAGGAATAGGGTCTTTCTGCTGCTGTGTCTGTTGTATTTGAAACTGATAGCAAGAGCCTTCAAAGTCCGGTAAATTGTCTGTGCTTAGGTAATTTTTTACTGGGAATGGCAAAAGGTATGTCTCAAATGCCAGTATGTGCCCCCAGCTATCCTCTCAAATAGATTTGGGTCCCTGTTCAAGAGAGTGCAAGTACTAAATCTTCCAAACAGGGCATGGTAAGTATATTCTCTGCAATGAAAAAAACCCTGTTGGTCTTAAAAAGGTCCACCTGTAGAAAGACATTTAAGCCCTAGGAGATGAGATTTTTTACTTCATCGAACAATAGGAAGTAGCGTCTTGTACGGAACAACATTTAGTACAGCCAGTTTTTCTGGATATGGCATACAAAGAACAGACTGAGAGCTGCTTCTCCTTCACCTCATCACCTCTCATATCACAAGAATAAGACACTTGATTAAAACAAAGAAGACGCAAATTCAGAGCAGATTAAAGAAAGCAATTTGTACAATGCATAGGTGAGTTAGAGGCCTGTGTTGAAAGCTTGTTTCATACTAAGGGATGTAGTATTTAGAGAGAAGATACTTGGATAACTGAAAATATTCTCTTATAGTAGGACCATTGGAATTAGCAGAGATTATTCTTCATGCTTTAGAACTTTATTTCAATGCTTTTGTGAAGGCAGGATCAAAATCTAGCAAGAAGCTTTGAAACCCAGCTTCCAGGTGTTTGTCCTTTTCCTGCTGTTCTTTGCTATTCAAGTAGCCAAATACTGTCTTCATCAGAAAGGCACTCCTTTTGAAGGTGTTGCAGCGATTCCTGTCTTGCTACAGCAGTTTAGGACACTGCAGTCTCCTAGCCAGTCTTACCTCCACCCCATTGAAGCTGTTGCAGAACTCTGTCAGGAGCTGAGGGAGTGGTAAGCAGAAGTTGAAAGTTGGCACAGTGGTAGTTTGAACCACTACAGCTTGATTTCTGGGGCGTGTCAGATTGTCTGTGTGCTCTGTCAACTTGCTTCATAATTTTTTCTGCTTGAAAAGCTGAACAGACTTACTTAATCTCTCGATTAATATGTAGTCCTTGGTTCTTGTTTGTGCATAAGTTCTTTGGTTCTCTTTGGCTTACAGTTCCTCATCGTGATGGTCCCATCAGGGTGGCTGGGAATATCACTGCAACAGTGTGTGCAATGCAGTCTGAAATTTCTGGCCTGAGACGTTATGGTCACCGCTCTGTTCTTATAAAACCCAATGTGATTCTCACCACTGGAGGCTTTGGGGAGGAGGATGGACAGCACTGCCGCATGAGAAATTTTCATGTGCTAACTAAGTGCGCAGGCTACTGGAAAGCAGTCTGTGTGAAAAAGGAAAATCCCAATGAAAGATGGGGTGAGTTCTCATACCGATGGCAAGTCTAGGGAAGACAGTTTTGTGCAAACAGTGTGACAGTGTCTCATGGAAAAGTGATGTCACAGTGCAATTACACTGAGGGTCAAAGAGATCCGAAGGTTCTGAATGCTAAGTGCGGATCCTGTGTGGCCAGCAGGCCAAGGGAGGTGATTC